TTAAACCATGGGTTATTATATTCCCTCCTGCTTTTTTCCTTTATTGTTGGAATAAATCTCTCTTCAGCCTCCTTGCATTTCAATATGACTTGGTTCATCATACCTTGCACTGTTTTTCCTCTAAGTTCTTCCTCCCACTGCAATTCTCCCAGGTAGTCCCTTATCCTTCTGTAGTCCCCTTTTCTGTAATCAAGTCTCCTTTCCCGGACCTCTTGTCCTTTGGTCACAATTTTAAGCTCCATCATGTAGTCAAAGACTAGGACACAATGGTCACTAGCTCCTAGTGGTATTTCATGTTCCAACTGCTCGATGTCTTCTGCATTCTGGGTGAAAATGAGATCTAATAGGCTGGGCGTATCCCCTCCTCTTTCCCTAGTATCTTCTTTCACATGCTGTGTTAGGAAATTTCTGTCAATAACGTCAATAATGTGTGTGTGTGTGTGTGTGTGTGTGTGTGTGTGTGTGGGTGTGTGTGTGTGTGTGTGTGTGTGTGTGTGTGTGTGTGTGTGTGTGTACTGTGTGTGTGTGTGTACTGTGTGTGTGTGTGTGTACTGTGTGTGTGTGTGTACTGTGTGTGTGTGTGTGTGTGTGTGTGTGTGTGTGTGTGTGTGTGTGTGTGTGTGTGTGTGTGTGTGTGTGTGTGTGTGTGAGATACTGGTTGATGGGGTTCTGGGAGTTCTTCTACTCCCCAAGCCCGGCCCGAGGCCAGGCTTGACTTGTGAGAGTTTGGTCCACAAGGCTATTGCTTGGAGCGGCCCGCAGGCCCACATACCCACCACAGCCCGGTTGGTCCGGCACTCCTTGGAGGAATAAATCTAGTTTGCTCTTGAAGATGTCTACGGTTGTTCCGGCAATATTTCTTATGCTCGCTGGGAGGGTGTTGAACAACCGTGAAACTCTGATGTTTATACAGTGTTCTCTGATTGTGCCTATGACACCCCTGCTCTTCACTGGTTCTATTCTGCATTTTCTTCCATATCATTCACTCCAGTACGTTGTTATTTTACTGTGTAGATTTGGTACTTGGCCCTCCAGTATCTTCCAGGTGCATATTATTTGATATCTCTCTCGTCTTCTTTCTAGTGGGTACATTTGGAGGGCTTTGAGACGATCCCAATAATTTAAGTGCTTTATCGCGTCTATGCGTGCCGTATATGTTCTCTGTATTCCCTCTATTTCAGCAATCTCTCCTGCTCTGAAGGGGGAAGTGAGTACTGAGGACGAGACAACTCAAGACGCTCAAGACGGGACAACACAAGTGACTTGAAGAGTACAACCATTGTGATGGTTGGAAAGGCGGGTTCCAAGAGCTTCTATAGCTCGATCCTTCAGACACACATAGTAAAACACACACACACACACACACGCGCACACACACACACACAGACCAATCCTGGAGTATGCGGCACCAGCATGGAGTCCATATCTAGTCAAGCATAAGACTAAAATGGAAAAGGTTCAAAGGTTTGCCACCAGACTAGTACCCGAGCTGAGAGGTATGAGCTACGAGGAGAGACTACGGGAATTAAACCTCCCTTCATTGGAAGACAGAAGAGTTAGGGGGGACATGATCACCACATTCAAGATTCTCAAGGGAATCGACAGGGTTGATAAAGACAGGCTGTTTAACACAAGGGGCACACGCACTAGGGGACACAGGTGGAAACTGAGTGCCCAAATGAGCCACAGAGATATTAGAAAGAACTTTTTTAGTGTCAGAGTGGTTGACAAATGGAATGCATTAGGAAGTGATGTGGTGGAGGCTGACTCCATACACAGTTTCAAGTGTAGATATGATAGAGCCCAGTAGGCTCAGGAACCTGTACACCTGTTGATTGACGGTTGAGAGGCGGGACCAAAGAGCCAGAGCTCATCCCCCGCAAGCACAACTAGGTGAGTACACACACACACACACACACACACACACACACACACACACACACACACACACACACACACACACACACACACACACACACACACACCTCTACATACCCCTAGGAAGCCGAGGTTGGCATAAGGTTCACATCTTCGGGTGATTGGACCCCATGTCAGTGGGTCACCGGAGGCCAGAGGGGAACAACACGCCAGCCAGGGAAGGGCACCAGAATAAGGTGAGTAAAGATAGACAGAATAAAAGGATGAGAGGGGAGTAAAGGGCGGAACGAGCTGAAGATATATACAGATAAGGTGAGACAGAAGTAGGTTGAGAGAGGTGTGGGGGGGGGGGGGGGAGAGGTGTTGAGACGAGATGGAATAGGCAGAAGAAGTAAGGAGTTAAAAGAAGAAAAATATGAAGGATTAAAGATTAAATACTGTACTAGAAATGCAAAACCAATAAACGAAGAAGGAAAACAACAAAATTAATGGAGAAACAGGAAAAGAATACACTGAATATCTGAACTGAGAAGAACGTGGGAAAGAGAGAAGAAACAAACTTACGGGCTATTCATGCCCGTGCCACCTTTTGGATGGCTTAATCTCCATCAATCAATCAATCAAGAAACAAAGAAAGAGGACACGTGGAAGAGATAAATGGAAATGAAGCGACAGCAATAGTAAAGACATAAAAACACTGAAGAGACGATGTAATAGAAACAGATATCGAATTGGAACATATGAAATGTAAAGGAGAAGATAAATCTCTGATAAAGGCGATCACAGGAGAAATGAAGACAATGAGAAGAAGAAGAAAGGTAGCGCAGTGGTAACACACTCGCTCCGCTCATCGCGATTTGGCCTGGCTTCGTATCCTTGCCAGAGTTGAAAAAACTAAAGAAAACACGAAGACAGATTATAGGGACGAAAGCAAATTGAGAAAGAGAGAGAGAGAGAGAGAGAGAGAGAGAGAGAGAGAGAGAGAGAGAGAGAGAGAGAGAGAGAGAGAGAGAGAGAGAGAGAGAGAGAGAGAGAGAGAGAGAGAGAGAGAGAGAGAGAGAGAGAATGGTGAAGATAACAACAGGCGGCAATTTGTAGTTTGTTAGTTCGCTGGTGCATCCATATTACAAAATTGACAAAGAAAATCAGGTATTGCCAATGCAATTTTCTAGTCTGTCTGGGTCTGTCTCTGCCTGCCTGCCTCCCTTCCACCGTCTCTCTCTCTCTCTCTCTCTCTCTCTCTCTCTCTCTCTCTCTCTCTCTCTCTCTCTCTCTCTCTCTCTCTCTCTCCCAGTTATCTTCCTCACGGTGAAGCGGGCATACAACTCTGGTCTCCCGAGGCTCAGCGCGACTCTCTTATTTAAATGTTGGTCTGCTACATGCTTTCAAAGGATGGTTAACTGAACTGTTTCTTCTGCCTGGTGAGCTCGCTGGGTGTCGCTTTGTGGTTTGTCTTCTTAGTTATGCATGTGTGTGTGTGTGTGTGTGTGTGTGTGTGTGTGTGTGTGTGTGTGTGTGTGTGTGTGTGTGGGTGTGGGTGTGTGTGTGTGTGTGTGTGTGTGTGTGTGGGTGTGTGTGTGTGTGGGTGTGTGTGTGTGTGTGTGGGTGTGTGTGTGTGTGTGTGTGGGTGTGTGTGTGTGTGTGTGTGTGTGTGTGTGTGTGTGTGTGTGTGTGTGTGTGTGTGTGTGTGTGTGTGTGTGTGTGTGTGTGTGTGTGTGTGTACACACCTAGCATGGTGAGTACACACACGTAACACCTAATCTAACTCCTGAGGCACATATAGATAGGATAACGACAGCAGCGTACTCTAAACTGGCAAAAGTTGGAACATCATTCAGAAACCTAAGTGAGGAGTGTGCCTCTGTGTGTGTGTGTACTTACTTACCTAATTGTACTTGCGGGGATTGAGCTCTGGCTCTTTGGTCCTGCCTCTCAACTGTCAATCAACTAATGTACAGGTTCCTGAGCCTACTGGGCCCTATCATATCTATACTTGAAGCTGTGTATGGAGTCAGCCTCCACCACATCACTTCCTAATGCATTCCATTTGTCTACCACTCTGACACTGAAAAAATTCTTTGTAACGTCTCTATGGCTCATTTGGGAAGTCAATTTCCACCTGTGTCCCCTAGTGCGTGTGCCCCTTGTAGTAAATAGTGTGTCTTTATCTACTCTATCAATTTCTCTGAGAATGTTGTATGTGGTGATCATGTCCCCCTCTAACTCTTCTGTCTCCCAGTGACGGGAGGATTAATTCCCGTAGTCTCTCCTCGTAGCTCATACCCCCTCAGTTCGGGTACTAGTCTGGTGGCAAACCTTTAAACCTTTTCCAGTTTAGTCTTATGCTTGACTAGATATGGACTCCATGGTGGAGCTGCATACTCCAGGATTGGTCTGACATGTTGTATACAAAGTTCTGAAAGATTCCTTACACAAGTTTCTAAAGGCCGTTCTTATGTTAGCCAACCTGGCATATGCCGCTGATGACATCCTCTTGATATGAGCTTCAGGGGACAGGTCTGGCGTGATATCAACGATCAGGTCTTTCTCTCTGAATCTTGAAGTATTTCATCTCCCAAATGATACCTTGTATCTGGTCTCCTGCTCCCTACACCTATCTTCATTACATTGCATTTGCTTGGGTTAAACTCTAACAACCATTTATTCGACCATTCCTGCAGCTTGTCCTGGAATGATCGAGTGTGTGTGTGTGTGTGTGTGTGTGTGTGTGTGTGCGCGCGCGCCCGCGCATATGAACCCAAAATCAACTAAAAAATCATTCCATTTTTAATGTCGGCAGCGTCTATCAGATAAATTTTTATCTCTTCAATCAGACAATCCGCTAGAGGGAATCACTCATAACTCTCCAGACGTATAATCTCCCAATTATGAACTAAAAACACAATTAAGACGCCACAGACACGACATTATCTTTAAGAAACGTGCAACAAGAGTTCTTAATCGTACACACTTCCACTTGAAGGTGACAGTAATCAAGCGCCCACTGGCATCACTGGTCTCTCCACATTCCCTCCATAAACAAGGCAGGCAGTAGTTTAGCCTAACTAAAACCCTCAAAACTAACGTGTTATAAATTTCCGCAAACCATTGACATTTTTACGTCAAGAAACTACCAGCCACTGCTGGCCTGCAGGAGCAGCCACCAGCCACTGCTGGCCTGCAGGAGCAGCCACCAGCCACTGCTGGCCTGCAGGAGCAGCCACCAGCCACTGCTGGCCTGCAGGAGCAGCCACCAGCCACTGCTGGCCTGCAGGAGCAGCCACCAGCCACTGCTGGCCTGCAGGAGCAGCCACCAGCCACTGCTGGCCTGCAGGAGCAGCCACCAGCCACTGCTGGCCTGCAGGAGCAGCCACCAGCCACTGCTGGCCTGCAGGAGCAGCCACCAGCCACTGCTGGCCTGCAGGAGCAGCCACCAGCCACTGCTGGCCTGTAGGAGCAGTCATCAGCCACTGCTGGCCTGTAGGAGCAGCCACCAGCCACTGCTGGCCTGCAGGAGCAGCCACCAGCCACTGCTGGCCTGCAGGAGCAGCCACCAGCCACTGCTGGCCTGTAGGAGCAGCCATCAGCCACTGCTGGCCTGCAGGAGCAGCCACCAGCCACTGCTGGCCTGCAGGAGCAGCCACCAGCCACTGCTGGCCTGCAGGAGCAGCCACCAGCCACTGCTGGCCTGCAGGAGCAGCCACCAGCCACTGCTGGCCTGCAGGAGCAGCCACCAGCCACTGCTGGCCTGCAGGAGCAGCCACCAGCCACTGCTGGCCTGCAGGAGCAGCCACCAGCCACTGCTGGCCTGCAGGAGCAGCCACCAGCCACTGCTGGCCTGCAGGAGCAGCCACCAGCCACTGCTGGCCTGCAGGAGCAGCCACCAGCCACTGCTGGCCTGCAGGAGCAGCCACCAGCCACTGCTGGCCTGCAGGAGCAGCCACCAGCCACTGCTGGCCTGCAGGAGCAGCCACCAGCCACTGCTGGCCTGCAGGAGCAGCCACCAGCCACTGCTGGCCTGCAGGAGCAGCCACCAGCCACTGCTGGCCTGCAGGAGCAGCCACCAGCCACTGCTGGCCTGCAGGAGCAGCCACCAGCCACTGCTGGCCTGCAGGAGCAGCCACCAGCCACTGCTGGCCTGCAGGAGCAGCCACCAGCCACTGCTGGCCTGCAGGAGCAGCCACCAGCCACTGCTGGCCTGCAGGAGCAGCCACCAGCCACTGCTGGCCTGCAGGAGCAGCCACCAGCCACTGCTGGCCTGCAGGAGCAGCCACCAGCCACTGCTGGCCTGCAGGAGCAGCCACCAGCCACTGCTGGCCTGCAGGAGCAGCCACCAGCCACTGCTGGCCTGCAGGAGCAGCCACCAGCCACTGCTGGCCTGCAGGAGCAGCCACCAGCCACTGCTGGCCTGCAGGAGCAGCCACCAGCCACTGCTGGCCTGCAGGAGCAGCCACCAGCCACTGCTGGCCTGCAGGAGCAGCCACCAGCCACTGCTGGCCTCAACTTCCAGAAGGGTCCAGCTTATAAGGGTCCAGCGAGGACAACACATATGCTCATTAACATATATTGTATCAGTTCATAATGCTATATGCATACACGTACTTTACGCCCTAAATATTGAATAAATATATATATATATATATATATATATATATATATATATATATATATATATATATATATATATATATATATATATATATATATATATATATATATATATATGACAATGTCAGACCACGGAGGAAAATGAAACAGGAATTTCCTTAAGTACTTTCTTATATTAAATACATCTTCAGAAGGAATGATTCCTTCTGAAGATGTATTTAATATACGAAAGTACTTAAGGAAATTCCTGTTTCATTTTCCTCCGTGGTCTGACATTGTCACATTCTTAATCACGTGTTTATTTTCGTGATATACACACACACACATATATATATATATATATATATATATATATATATATATATATATATATATATATATATATATATATATATATATATATATAGTGTGTGTGTGTACTCACCTATTTGTGCTTGCGGGGGTTGAGCTGTGGCTCTTTGGTCCCGCCTCTCAACTGTCAATCAACAGGTGTACAGGTTCCTGAGCCTATTGGGCTCTATCATATCTACACTTGAAACTGTGTATGGAGTCAGCCTCCACCACATCACTTCCTAATGCATTCCATTTGTCAACCACTCTGACACTAAAAAAGTTCTTTCTAATATCTCTGTAGCTCATTTGGGCACTCAGTTTCCACCTGTGTTCCCTAGTGCGTGTGCCCCTTGTGTTAAATAACCTGTCTTTATCTACTCTGTCGATTCCCTTGAGAATCTTGAATGTGGTGATAATGTCCCCCCTAACTCTTCTGTCTTCCAACGAAGTGAGGTTTAATTCCCGTAGTCTCTCCTCGTAGCTCATACCTCTTAGCTCGGGTACTAGTCTGGTGGCAAACCTTTGAACCTTTTCCAGTTTAGTCTTGTGCTTGACTAGATATGGACTCCATGCTGGAGCCGCATACTCCAGGATTGGTCTGACATATGTGGTATATAATGTTCTGAAAGATTCCTTACACAAGTTTCTAAATGCCGTTTTTATGTTAGCCAACCTGGCATATGCCGCTGATGTTATCCTCTTGATATGAGCTTCAGGGGACAGGTCTGGCATGATATCAACCCCCAGGTCTTTCTCTCTCTCTGACTCCTGAAGTATTTCGTCTCCCAAATGATACCTTGTATCTGGTCTCCTGCTTCCTACCCCTATCTTCATTACATTACATTTGATTGGGTTAAACTCTAACAACCATTTGTTCGACCATTCCTGCAGCTTGTCCAGGTCTCCTTGAAGCCTTAAGCTGTCCTCCTCTGTCTTAATCCTTCTCATAATTTTGGCGTCGTCAGCAAACATTGAGAGGAATGAGTCTATACCCTCTGGGAGATCATTTACGTATATCAGAAAAAGGATAGGTCCGAGTACAGAGCCCTGTGGGACTCCACTGGTGACTTCACGCCAATCTGAGGTCTCACCCCTCACTGTAACTCTCTGCTTCCTATTGCTTAGGTACTCCCTTATCCACTGGAGCGCCCTACCAGTTACTCCTACCTATTTCTCCAGCTTATGCATCAGCCTTTTATGGGGTACTGTGTCAAAGGGTTTCCGACACACAAAGGCTTGTGTGTGTGTGTGTGTGTGTGTGTGTGTGTGTGTGTGTGTGTGTGTGTGTGTGTGTGTGTGTGTGTGTGTGTGTGTGTGCGGGAGTGTGTCTAGAGCAGGAGCCTCTGTATGGTCTCGTCTAGCTGCTTTCTCATTACCTTTACACACTTGCTAATTACTCATCACTTCAGTTTAGATGAACTTGTGAATTAATTACTCATCAAGTGAATATGAAATATCACTGTAGGCGTAGAGGTTTAATTACAGCGGAGCCCGTTATCAGTGATTCATTACGAATGATATCATTTTATGCCTGAATTAGTAGCAAGGCGTTAAATGTTACACAGATTTATTGTTCCTTTTTAAAAGCCCTCTCGTGGATGATCGTGGAACTGATGATCGCAGTTTTTAAGAGAGATTCTTGGATCTTTGTGAAGTGGGGATTTTTGTCTTCATAAATCCAGGAGATGGATGGGGAGGGCGTGCTAATGGCTGATGTGTATTTACGATGGGGAAGGATACCATCTCACCTCCATTAAATGTGCGCAAATTATCTATATAATGGAGACAGCTTTCAGAACGTTTCCGCTGACGGCCACAACCGTCCCGCATATTATGCTTGAGTAATACCAGCCACAGTCTCCTGCGTGGTTATGTGTCATCACATTATTCATCGCGGGGGATTCATCAATATTCATCGTGATGTACACATACCTTTTATTTAGTCAAGTGAGCTTGGATCATACACATGAGGTGTTACAACACATAGTACAGTAGCCAATAGATCATAAGCTTCCATAATAGATCATGGAAGCTGGAAGGTGTCATGAAGCCCAACTAATCTATTCCTGTATTTCCCATTATTGTGAATTTAAATTTATATGAGAGTGTAAAGAGAGTTTCAAGTGTTTGTGTTTTTGTTGCTTTACGCTCATTAGTTGGTAAGTAGATATATAAAAGACTTTTATAATGTTAACCATTATGTTTGAATTACTAATAATTCGTAAAAAAAAATATATATATATATATATATATATATATATATATATATATATATATATATATATATATATATATATATATATATGTGTGTGTGTGTGTGTGTGTGTGTGTGTATGTGTGTGTGTGTGTGTGTGTGTGTGTGTGTGTGTGTGTGTGTGTGTGTGTATGTGTATGTGTGTGTGTGTGTGTGTGTGTGTGTGTGTGTGTGTGTGTGTAAAATGTGTGTCCGAAGTAGGAGGCCAGACACTTGGGGCTAGCCTCACCCAACTTTCACACATGAAACATGGTGGGTATGTGACTGTCATAGGTCAGTCATGGTCGGCCCAAGTGCACAATCAATAAAAGGTTCCACGGAAGCACATATAATCTCTACACAAAACCTGATCATCACCAGAGATATCCTGACAAATAATCCTGAAATAATCTTCAGATACAACGACACTACAAAATTAGATATCGGCAAAGCACTATATATCAACAAGCTCAACCAACTGTCAATTTGTCAACCAACCAACCAACTGTCAACCCTAAAGCACACTGCTCTAGGCACCTCTACTCTTCAGAGAGGTGCCTCTAAATTTTCTACCATATCTATCACTCCAGAATGTTGCTATTTTACTGTGCAAATTTGAAACTTGGCCTTAGATCCAGTATCTTCCACGTACAGTATATATTATTCAATACCTTTCTCGTCTCCTGTCCAGAGAGTACGTTATGAGAGCTCTGAGACGGTCACAATAATTTAAGTGCTTTATTTTATTTTTTTTTTTTTTTTTTTGCATGCTTTCTCGTGTCTATTCATGTTGTTCATGTTCTCTGTATTCCCTCTGTTTCAGAAATCTCTCCTGCTGTGTGTGTGTGTGTGTGTGTGTGTGTGTGTGTGTGTGTGTGTGTGTGTGTGTGTGTGTGTGTGTGTGTGTGTGTGTGTGTGTGTGTATACTCATTAATGCAAGTTTTCTATGATGGATTTTAATGCAAGTTTTCTATGATAGTAGAATTCGTGAGTGTTGGCCTAACCAGTACTCAAGATGACTCATCACAACCACTGACACACACTTAACATCACCCAAAATAATAAAGATCACAACTCTCTCGCTAATACTTGTTTACAATCCAATTTCCCCCCAAATTATGCCCTTGATAAACACCCGTCGTAAATTAAGACGGTCTATTTGAGGAATCAAAATCACATAATGATCCAGTCAGAAGGAGGAAGACTCCACGTGGCCGTCCTTCAAGGAAGGATGAGAGCTCCTCATGGACCCGCTACCTCCTTATGCAATTTAAACGAAGGAATTATAAATGAAAACAAATGAAAACGTTTCTCTTGCATGATGTGGTCCGGCGAGGCTCCTCGAGCTGGGCCAGTGCCTTTTGATGTGGCTCCGCGGGGTTTCTAATGTGGCCCAACACGGTTTCTAAAGAGGTTCAAGTGGGGTTGAATGTGATGTAGCGACGATCCGGCTGACGTGAGCCACCGTGACCTGCTCTGTAACTCTAAGGTGACCTCAGGGACGCGGTTACCACCATTACCCCCCCCCCCCACGGCCCAGGTGAACAGTTACCACTAATACTGCCCCTGCCCCCCCGGGGTGGAGGTGACGGTCCCCCCCCCCGGGGTGGAGGTGACGGTCCCCCCCGGGGTGGAGGTGACGGTCCCCCCCCCGGGGTGGAGGTGACGGTCCCCCCCCCCCCGGGGTGGAGGTGACGGTCCCCCCCCCCCGGGGTGGAGGTGACGGTCCCCCCCCCCGGGGTGGAGGTGACGGCCCCCCCCCGGGTGGAGGTGACGGCCCCCCCCCCGGGGTGGAGGTGACGGTCCCCCCCCCGGGGTGGAGGTGACGCCTCCCCCCCCGGGGTGGAGGTGACGGTCCCCCCGGGGTGGAGGTGACGGTCCCCCCGGGGTGGAGGTGACGGAAAGCCATTACCCCTGGGGGGGAGGGAGAGAGGGAGTTGTAAATTTTACAAAATATATGTAAATTATAAAAAAAAATATGGACTAGAGCAGAAGGGAAACAAATTGAGTATGAAGGTTAGGGTTGAGAGAGAGAGAGAGAGAGAGAGAGAGAGAGAGAGAGAGAGAGAGAGAGAGAGAGAGAGAGAGAGAGAGAGAGAGAGAGAGAGAGAGAGAGAGAGAGAGTGAGACAGAGAAGGAGAGGGTGAGACAGAGAGTGGGAGTGAGAAACAGAGAGAAAGAGAGAGAGAGGGAGAGAGAAACAGATGTTCCAGTACACAAAAAGAACAGCCGATCAGTGATTGGTAAGTACAGACCAGTGTCACTGCTGGTAAAATTCTCGAAACATTAATCTC